CTCGTCTCTATGAAGAGCTCTACATATATTTATATTTTATATTAAACATATTTATATTATACACTATATAAAAATATATTTATATAATATAGAGACAATATAATGCATATAACATAAATACATTTTTAGAGAAAAAATGGCCAAGTCTTAGTGACTGAGCCACGACTTGGGGCAGTTGCCATTGGTTTTCCCAGAGAGTCTAGGACAGGCCGGGCGCGGTGGCTCACGCCTGTAATCCCAGCACTGTGGGAAGCCGAGGCGGGTGGATCACAGGTCAAGAGATCGAGACCATCCTGGCCAACACGGTGAAACCCCATCTCTACTAAAATACAAAAATTAGCTAGGTGTGGTGGCGCGTACCTGTAGCCTCAGGTACGTGGGAGGCTGAGGCAGGGGAATTGTTTGAACCCAGGAGGCGGAGGTTGCAGTGAGCCGAGATTGTGCCACTGCACTCCAGCCCGGCACCTGGTGACAGAGCAAAACTCTATCTCAAAAAAAAAAAAAAATAGTCTAGGACAGTAATCTTTAAGCTTTCAAAGGGTTTTAACTTCTCACGAGGATTCTTAAGGCTAAATGTGACACTTCTCTGTGTTCTTTAAGACTGGTTGTCTGACACAAACCCATTCGTGCCCTGTGTATCCCTCCAGGACAGAATGACATAGAAAGACAGAAAGGACTCGTCACACAAATCTTTTCCTACTAACAAAAACCTTCCAGAGGAGACAAACAGCGACTTCCACCGTTCACCCACCAGATTTGCACAGCAAAAGAGAGGCCAGAAGCCTGGCTGGTAAGAAATTCTCTCCCTTTGCAGGCGTGCTGGGTTTCCAGGTTCCCTTTCTCTGCAGCTCCTGGCTGCAGAAGAACAGGGTGGTTTTTGATGAAGCAGCTCCCCTCTTCTGTGCAGCTGCTCACTGCGCCATCGCTGTGGGGCTCAAGGTGCATCACTAAAGAAAGTCATCTTTTTCTGATCAGTGGAACCCAGGCAAAAGCCCCTCCCTTTTGCAACAGGCTATGTGGGGGAAACTGAATTCACATGTCCCATTCCAACTGTAGCAAAATGCATGCACCAAAACCCACTCTGGTCCCCCTGGTCAGCACTCAGTACTGACTTGGCAAGGCTCCTGTCATCTCTGATTCACTCAAAGTGGGAGGGGATGGCCTCCGGCCAGGAGTTGTAATGGGTCCTCTCTGGGAAAGACAGAAGAACGGACAGCCACCCTGCGTTAGGCCTGCTGAGCTTCCTTCTGGGGTCCCTGAACGCGGCGGACCAGGAAACGGGGAGAACAGACAAACGGGGAGCCACCACTGGCTTCCTCAGGGACCTCCTCTGTGTACATAGACACTCACAACAAAGTGAAGACACGCAGAAGGCCCTCAGAGCCAGGACTCTGGACCAGATTTCAAATCCAAACAGCATTTCTCCAAACAGCACCTCGATTCTGTGCAGCTGAGGAGAAACCGCCTCAAACCAAGGCTCTTGTTTCTACAATCTAGGGAGAGACGGACAGTTCCCATGGCTGGGCCACAAAGCCTCTGAGAGGCCAGCGGATCAGGAGGAGAAAGGGGCTGTTGGCAGCAGCTGGAAAACTCACCCAGACCAGGTGAAAAGACGTCTTCCGGTCTGTCTTCTCCACGGCAACTGGATCTGTGAACCATGGGTGACAGCGCCCTGCTCGTAGAGATGCTGCCAGAGGCAGCTGCAGCCCAAGAGAACTCAGCAGTGGCCTGGAACAGGCTCTGGGTCCATCGCCAGTGGGGGCAGCAAAACCACAGGCAGGAACCACAAGGGCTGTCTCAGGGGACCCCCAAATCTGTAACCGCCCAGTGTGTTCTTTTCGTCCGCTGCCCGGATACAGCTGGTTTACCCAGATGGGAATTTCAGTAGAGAGTTTAATTCATGCAAAGCTGGCTAAAGGAGAGACCAGAGTTTTCATCCTGGGCAACGCAGTGAAACCCCGTCTGTACTAAAAATACAAAAATTAGCCAGGCACGGCGGTGGCACATGCCTGTAAACCCAGCTACTCATGGGGCTGAGGCAGAATTGCTTGAACCTGAGAGGCAGAGGTTGAGGTGAGCCGAGACCGTGCTGCTACACTCCAGCCTGGGCAACAGAGCAAGACTCTGTCTAAACAAGCAAGCAAGCAAAAACCACAGCAGTGAGAACAGCACGCGCCGGAGCAGTTTAACCATTGCGGTGCTGGCCAGCTGAGGAGAACGGGGAGGAATGTTTTAGGCCTGTGGTATCGGTCTGTTAGCACACTGCCGTGAAGAAATACTCGAGACTGAGTCATTTATAAAGGACAGAGTTTCAACGGACTCACAGTTCTGCATTGTTGGGAAGGCCTCAGAAAACTTATAATCGTGGTGGAGAGCAAAAGGGAAGCAGGCACCTCTTCACAGGGCAGCAGAGTGGGCTGAGTGCCAGCAGAGGCAATGCCAGACGCTTTGAAAACCAGCAGGACTCCTGAGACCCAATTACCTCCACGTGGTCCTGCCCTTGACACCTGGGGGTTATGGGCATTACAGTTCAAGCAGAGATTTGGGTGAGGTCACACAGCCAAACTGTGTCACCCATCTTCCCAAGAATTCAGAACCTGGGCTTTTTAAGGGTGCTGTGGCAGGCAGGGGGTCAGCGCGGCCAGCGTTGATGGCTGGAGATGAAGTCACGGGGCATCCAAATCTGTCTTCATGCAGCTGAGTCCGCCTTTGGGTTGGGGTGGGTGGGGTTGCTCTCAGGACGGTGGCTCTTCCTGGTCTACTGAAACGCTAAATCTGAAGATATCTCACAGCCAGTGGTTTTGCATTCATAAGAGTGATGTTACCTACAGGAGTCGTTGGGAGGGTTATAACCCTTGTGATCCTGGTTACATGGCTCTGGGGAAGCAATTTATGGAAAAACAAACTAAGCAGGCCGGGCACGGTGTCTCACGCCTGTAATCCCAGCACTTTGGGAGGCTGAGGCGGGTGGATCACGAGGTCAAGAGATCGAGACCATCCTGGCCAACATGGTGAAACCCCGTCTCTACTAAAAAATACAAAAATTAGCTGGGTGTGGTGACACGCGCCTGTAATCCCAGCTACTCAGGAGGCTGAGGCAGGAGAATCGCTTGAACCCGGGAGGCGGAGGTTGCAGTGAGCTGAGATTGCGCCATTGCACTCCAGCCTGACTCCTGGCGACACAGCAAGACTCTGTCTCAAAAAAAAAATAGAAAGAAAAACAAACTAAGCAGTGGTAGCAAAGTTGAAGTCTTAACCTTGTCTGATGAATGCAGCCTCCATCTACAAACAGGGAGAGGAGTCACGTTTTCTTTTTCTTTTTTTTTTAAGACGGGTTTTCACCATGTTGGTGAGGCTGGTCTTGAACTCCCAACCTCAGGTGATCCGCCCGCCTTGGCCTCCAAAGTGCTTGGATTACAGGCGTGAGCCACCCACATGAGGGATGTGGAGAAGCGGGCCGGGCTCAGGAGCTCAGCTTCGGGTGTGTGGGGCTGGAGGTGCAAGCCAGGCTGCATCCAGGTAACCTCCCAGGAAACACGCCCCAGAGTTCACGCCTCAGTGAGTGCGGTTTCTTCCCGGCTTACATCTGGGCTGGCTCCAGGACTTGCCTGAACCCACCGAGTGTACCACAGTAATGCCAAGCCCGTTACTGACTTGGGCCCGGAGCTGTTTTTTTTTTATACGGGGTTTCACCATGTTGGTCAGGCTGGTCTTGAACTCCCGACCTCAGGTGATCCACCCGCCTTGGCCTCCAAACTGCTTGGATTTCAGGCGTGAGCCACCACGCCTGGCCAGACTTGGGCCCAGAGCTCTTAAGGGCCAGCACCAAGTAAGACACGGACTCAGCCCCCCACCACCATGCAAGGGGAAGGCCAGCCGTGCGAAGCAGCCCGTGGGGAACAGCAGGGCCCAGCAGAGCCTGCAAATGCTCACCCCAAGAGTGAGGTGTCAGACCTTGTGGTTGGCCTGCCCTCCACCCCTTTGTGGGAAGCGGAATGATCTCGCTAACACACCGGGTCAAAAGAAATGTCCCTTTGCTGTTTCAGGTAAGCCTGGGGTGGTTTGTTACACAGCAGCCGGCAGAGGAGATGGATCTCCAGCCCCATCCACGCTGGGGGTGTCAGGGCCAGAACTGGAGACTGCGGCCCTTAGTCCTCTGATCTGAAGCTGGGGCCTTCGGTGCCCTCAGCCTCTCTTCTTCTGCACCCACGGCCACATTAAAGGGTGACTCAAGAAGAAGAGGCTGCTCTCAGGGTACGGCTGAACAGAGCCAGGGGAATTGAGGCTGCTGATACCCCTTGGCTCCAAGGGGCAGGGAGGTGGCATGGAGGTCCCAGGTGGGGCAGCAGGGAGGTGGCGTGGAGGGCTCAGCACATCAGCCTCTCTGGGCCCCAGGCTCTTTCCCTGTAGGGAGACGTGGGGCAGCAGCTGAGCTCCTCGGGCCACACCCTCCAGGGGCCTGTGTGGACCAGGTATCGTGCACCCCGGGAAGTGGCTTCGGGGGTACATGGAGCAGTGCATCCCTCTGGCAGCCCAGGCCTGGGTCCTGTGGCCACACCCGACACACGGTCTTCAGGGAGTGCTCGGGGCCCCTTCCCTACCTCCCTGGTTCTTACCTGAGGCTTCGGTCTGACGTCAGTTTCCACCCCCCCAGGGACCACCTGCCCCAACTTTCAGCACACAGACAGGTGGGAGAAGTTTCCAGAAGTCAAGCCACTCTGAGGGACCAGGGAGTGAGTGCATGACTGTTTCTAAGTCACAGAAGGGCTGCACCTTGGGGTCTGGATGAGAATTTATCTAGGCAGGCACTGCCCGTTCCTTCTCCCGGGTCCCTCCTTCCAGGAGATCCCCATGGGCTGTGCCTTGAGACACCCTCCAGCCCCAAGCACAGGCCCCACTCAGCCGCCAGTCAGTGAGAGAATGGGCTCCAGCCTGTCCACACAGGCCTCCCTGCCAGCCCTCCACCCACTGGACACCACTTTCCGGAACAAAAGGCAAGCGTATCTGACAGCAATAGATTTATTAAGTATCCCCAAAAATATAAACGCAAACCAGTAAAAAACAAAACCATAAAACATCAGGCCAGGAGCTGCAATAAGACAGAGACAGGAGCAGCACGCAGGTGGCCTGGGTGGGGAAGATGAGGCCGTAAATACTGCAGGAGGCGCGCAGGAGCCCGAGGGTGGGGGGTAGCAGGGGACGGTGGTGGCAGCAAGATGGCTCTGGGGGTCAGGCACTGCTGGCCTTGGCCCAGGCCGCTGCCTGCCCCTCACGCCAGCCGCAAGCAGCTTCACTTCGGGCCCTGGGCCTCCGACTCCTCGTCCTCGTCTTCGTACATCTCGCCCTCCTCCTCGGCCGTGGCGTCCTGGTACTGCTGGTACTCGGACACCAGGTCGTTCATGTTGCTCTCGGCCTCGGTGAACTCCATCTCGTCCATGCCCTCGCCCGTGTACCAGTGCAGGAAGGCCTTGCGCCGGAACATGGCCGTGAACTGCTCGGAGATGCGCTTGAACAGCTCCTGGATGGCGGTGCTGTTGCCGATGAAGGTGGAGGACATCTTGAGGCCGCGGGGTGGGATGTCGCACACGGCCACCTTCACGTTGTTGGGGATCCACTCCACGAAGTAGCTGCTGTTCTTGCTCTGGATGGCCAGCATCTGCTCGTCCACCTCCTTCATGGACATGCGGCCCCGGAACACAGTGGCCACGGTCAGGTAGCGGCCGTGGCGCGGGTCGCAGGCGGCCATCATGTTCTTGGCGTCAAACATCTGCTGGGTGAGCTCGGGCACGGTCAGGGCCCGGTACTGCTGGCTGCCCCGGGCCGTGAGGGGCGCGAAGCCGGGCATGAAGAAGTGCAGGCGGGGGAAGGGCACCATGTTCACCGCCAGCTTGCGCAGGTCGGCGTTGAGCTGGCCTGGGAAGCGCAGTGAGGTGGTCACCCCGCTCATGGTGGCCGACACCAGGTGGTTGAGGTCCCCGTAGGTGGGCGTGGCCAGCTTGAGGGTGCGGAAGCAGATGTCGTAGAGCGCCTCGTTGTCAATGCAGTAGGTCTCATCCGTGTTCTCCACCAGCTGGTGGATGGACAGCGTGGCGTTGTAGGGCTCCACCACCGTGTCAGACACTTTGGGCGAGGGCACCACGCTGAAGGTGTTCATGATGCGGTCAGGGTACTCCTCACGCACCTTGCTAATGAGCAACGTGCCCATCCCGGACCCCGTGCCGCCCCCCAGCGAGTGGGTCAGCTGGAAGCCCTGCAGACAGTCGCAGTTTTCACACTCCTTCCGCACGACGTCCAGGACCGAATCCACCAGCTCCGCGCCCTCCGTGTAGTGGCCCTTGGCCCAGTTGTTGCCGGCCCCACTCTGACCTATGCAGGGAGAAGAGGGGTAGCAGACGGGGTCAGGGGCTCTGCAGTCCAGACTCCAGCCCCATGCCCGTTCTCTCTTCTGTAAAGGAGGCCCCACTCAGCACCCCTCTCATACCCACCGCGGCTTCCCTGAGCCAGTGGTGCTCAGTGCTCAGGACGGGGGCTCTGGACAAGGATTTGAGAACGCGGTGTCACCCCAGAATCCCTGCAGTGGGGGCTGGATGCAAGTTGGCATCTATCAGTTGGATGTGCTGGGGTCTGGGGGGCACAAGTCAGCGAGGCCCTGCTGTTTCTGTGGCACATCCAGGGCCCTGCCCCGGGGCACAGGCACGAGAACGTCCTGACCGGTGGGCGGCAGCATGGCCCCATGCTCGTGGACCCTGGAGGTCCCGTTCTGTCTCAGCAGCTCTCCAGCAATTGTCAGCTTCTGTCTGCTCTACACCTCCTTCCCCTGGAAATGCATGAGTGCTTTCTGCTCTCCCCACGGAACCCTTTCTGTGGGCCTCCAGTGCCCAGCTGTAAGATGGAGAGATCAGCTCTCACCCTTCAAGACCCCGTGAGGAGCTGACCATTCCTTGTTTCTGACAGCCGCCCTGTCCACTGACCTGAGCTTGTGTGTCATGGGGTCTGCCCTCAGAGCTCGGAGCAGGTGAAACTTACCGAAGATGAAGTTGTCAGGCCTGAAAAGATGTCCGAAGGCCCCAGAGCGGACACTGTCCATGGTCCCGGGCTCCAGGTCCACCAGGATGGCCCGAGGCACATACTTGTGAGCTGAGGGGCGAGAAGGGCTCAGGTGATTACAGAGGGCCAGAGCCTCTCCCTCATCCTTTCTTTTTTTTTTTTTTTTTTTTATTGAGATAGAGTCTTGCTCTGTAGCCCAGGCTGGAGTGCAATGGCAGTCTCAGCTCACCCCACCAACCACCTCCCAAGTTCAAGTGGTTCTTCTGCCTCAGCCTCCCAAGTAGCTGGGATTACAGGCACAAGCCACCATGCTCAGCTAATTGTTGTATTTTTAGTAGAGATGGGGTTTCACCAGGTTGGCCAGTCTGGTCTTGAACTCCTGACCTCATGATCCACCTGCCTCGGCCTCCCAAAGTGCTGGAATGAAAGGCGTGCGCCACCGCACCCAGCCTCTCCCTCATCCTTTCTGAATTCTGCACCTGCCTGCCACCCTCCTGCTCACATCCTAAGAGCCTTTACTCTGAAGTCAGTGAGTCCTGGACCAAAGGTGAGCTTGAGCAACTTTCCTAAGCCTCACTGTGTGTAAGAATGGAGTGGCACCTGCAGGATCAATTTGCACGTCCACCAGGCGCAGGGGCTCATGCCTGCACTCCCAACACTTTCGGAGGTCAAGGCAGGTGGATCTCTTGAGTCCAGGAGTTCAAGACCAGCCTTGGCAACATATCGAGACAGTCTCTACTAAATTAAAAAAAAAAAACTTTTTTGATATGGACTCTCGCTCTGTCACCAAGACTGAAGTGCAGTGGTGTGATCTCGGCTCACTGCAACCTCTACCTCCCGGATTCAAGTGATTCTCCTGCCTCAGCTTCCCAAGGAGCTGGGATTACGGACACATATCACCACGCCCAGCTAATTTTTGTATTTTTAGTAGAGATGGGGTTTCACCGTGTTGGCCAGGATGGTCTCGATCTCTTGACCCCGTGATCTGCCTGTCTTGGACTCCCAAAGTGCTGGGATTACAGGCGTGAGCCATTGCACCTGGCCTAAAAATTTTTTTAAATCACATGTCCATGTGGGCAGGTGAGTGTGTCACCACTTTGATATGGAAATCACTTTTTTCCAGTTGCTAAAGAGCACCTGACTAAGCCCTCCAGGTGGCCCCTTCTCAAGGCCCTCGTATGGCCACCAGTCTCCTCCGTGCCCTAGCCCTGTCTGTCCCCCTGGATACGCAAAGGCCCTCATGGTCACTAATATGTTGGCTCTCACTTTTATGACTATGATTTGTTATCTATTCTGTGTATCTGGATGCCCGGTATCCAGTCATGCCTGCTGGCATCTCGGTCGTGGGAAGCAGAAAAGTTCCTTTTTAAAGTTTCCTTCTTGTTAAAAATAAGTGTGCTAATAACTTTGTGAAGCCCTGTCCTATGTAGCTGTTAGATGTGCCGTGCTCACAGGCACATGGTACATTCTGTGTCCTGGTACTTCAACTGAGATATCTGTGCTGGGCGTGCTCACAGGCATGTCCCAGCTCTCCACTGCTTTTACCTGTTTAGAAAAGTTGTAAGTTGTTAGCCAATTGCATTTTAGTGTAGATTGTGAGGTCTGGCTCCAGCCAACGGAGATCAGACACAGCAGCAAGGATGACCCCACATGCGTGAGGGATAAATTTGTCTATTTTCCTTTGTTGATTGTACTCTCACGGCAAGATGGCTAGCGAGGGTCCCCTTCCTGCAGCCCAGGGAGTAAAAATTGCATTGCTGAAAACTGCTTTGTCTCAGTGCTGATTTTTCTTTGTAGCACCGAGCATCTATTTCCAACACTGGCCAACCCATAGGAGGAGAGAGACGCTGAGACCTAGTCAGTCCAGGCACCCCGACGTCCTCACCAGGGCTGGGATGAGGAGTGTGGAAAGAAAACTGTTCCTCTTCACAGGTTCCCTTCTTGTTAAAGAATAAAAAATGCTAGAAATAATAGTTTCTTTTAAAGACTGACTTCCTTCACAGCCTTCTTGGTTTTTTGGGGTTTTTTTGCTAATTACTCTTCGAGAAGCCCTATCCTACATAGCTGTTAGATATAAAGGAATGGGTACATTCTATGTCCTTGTGCTTTAACCAAGACGTTTGTCCGGACAAGCTCAGGCACGTCCCCACTGGTGGCCTGTGCCCCTCCTTATTTAGAAATGTTATTACTTTTCTAAGTCCTTTCGCAAGCAACTTCCTGCTTTCCTTTGTTCTCCATTACCTTTACCTATTTAGCAAAGTTTTAAGTTGTTAGCCAATTGGGTTTAGCTTAGACTGTGAGGTCCAGCTCCAACCAGTGGAGATGGGACAGAGCAGTAAGGACCCGGTGCATAAGGCATACACTGTCATGGCAGGACTGCTGATGGGTAGCACCCTTTCTGCAGAAAGTAAAATTGCCCTGTTGAGAAAACGTTTTGTCTGAATGCTAATTTTTCCTTTCGGCACCTAGGAACAAGCATCTGGTTCTAACAGGGAGGCTGGGGCAGGCACTCACAAGATGCCTCATTGTAGTAGACGCTGATCCGCTCCAGCTGCAAGTCGGAGTCACCCACGTAGTTGCCACTGGGGTCTATGCCATGCTCATCACTGATGACTTCCCAGAACTGCAAAAGAAGTTGGCGGGGGGTGGTCAGCAGGCAGCCCGTAAGCCCCAGCCAGGCCCTTTCCCTTGTGAAGCCTTATAGCCCTCAGTATAAAATTAGGGCTTTGGACCCAAGGCCTCCACTAGCCCCATTCAAAAGAGAGCCCCACGCTCTGTCATCTGTCAAAAAATTGCCATAATAAATATGCACCCGGACTCATGCACGCCCAGGCTGACCACAGCCCCAGGATGGCTCAAGGTTCAACAGCCTGACACCCAGGCTCCCAGGCCCAGCTCTGCACCTGCTGCCAAGGGCCTGGGCCAGCTGATGCGTCCATGAAGGGCATTGGTAATAAACACCTTGAGGGATAGTTTTCATTATCCCTTCTTTTCAGGTAAGGAAATTGAGACACAGAGGGTAGAGACACCCACAGTAGCTGGCAGAGGAGGGTGGCCGGGTTCAGAGGCCCAGAGCTCATGATCGTATCTGGCTGCTACACCTGCCCCTCCACATCAGAGCAAACCATATCCAGTGATGGTGCTGGGACATCACTGTCCTCAGCCAACGGGACTCATAGGGACCTGGACAACCATGTCATCAAGGACCCCCAGCTGGGTCTGCAGAAGGGTCCTTGGGGTCCCAAATGGGAAGCAACTTGCCTGGGGTCACCCAGCCTGTCCATGTGGGACTGGCATTATCCCAGCTCCCAGGGGTTGGCCTCTCTCTTCCTGCCACCCCACTTCTTCCCCCTGAATGCAAACCGACAGTGCTTCCCAGACTCTGCTCCCACAACTGCTGCAGAGCAGAGCCTAGACTCAGGGGCTGGACCTGCTGGGTTCACAGATCCTTCTCCCACCCTTCCCAACTGTGTGACCTTGGGTGGGTCACAACGATTCTGTAACTCAGTGTCCTCATCTGTTCAATGGGTGTGATGATAGCAGGTCTTTGTGAGAACGAAGTGACTTAATCTGTGTAAGGCGTATAAATGGCATATGGCAAACGCAGAATTATTAGCACATAGGTGTGCACACGGAGACACACACCCCTAGGTGAGAGGAAGGCTTTCAGAGAGATGCCACCTCATAGCGGGACACACCCTGATGGCCAGCCGCGGCTGTGCCCGGGAGCAGCGTTTGCAGGCAGCAGGCCTCCTGGGACGCCGGCCATGTGGTTTCCCGGGGCTGTCTGACCTCTCCCAGTACCCCTTGTGCTGACTCCTCAGGGGTGACTTTCAGATGAGCTGATGGGTTTGAAGGCCTCAAGAAACGAGGGCCACTATATGTGAGTCGTGTGCCAGAGAAAAGGTTACTCAAGAAAAAAGCAGGTTAGGAAACAATTTGGCAGCTGGGCACAGTGGCTTATGCCTGAAATCCCAACACTTTGGGAGGCTGAGGTGGGAGGAGCCTGAGATTGCAGACCAAGATTCGCTTTGGAACGGAGACAGGGAAGAGACGTTTTAAGATGCTTCTACTTAAAGGGGTTACTTTAGAGGAAACTGCTCTGTGCAGGAGGCAGGACTGGGTGGCAGCAAGCATGAGCCTCAGAGTTCACCTCAAGACCCGATCTCAAAATAAATACACAAAGGCCAGGTGTGGGGGCTCACCCCTGTAATACCAGCACTTTGGGAGGCTGAGGTGGGCGGATCACCAGAGGTCACCAGGACCAGGAGTTCGGGACCAGGCTGGTCAACACGGTGAAACCCTGTCCCTTCTAAAAATACAAAAATTAGCCAGACGTGGTGGCTCACACATCCCAGCTACTCAGGAGGCTGAGGCAGAAGAATCGCTTGAACCTGGGAGGCAGAGGCTGTGGTGAGCCGAGATCATGCCACTGCACTCTAGCCTGGGCCACAGAGTAAGACTGTCCTAAAGAAAAAAAATCTCAAAGGAAAAAAAAAGAAAAAGAAAACCACTTTTTTCAGGCGCGGTGGCTCACACCTGCAATCCCAGCACTTTGGGAAGTAGAGACAGTGGGTCATCTGAGGTCAGGAGTTCAAGACCAGCCTGGGCAACATAGCAAAATCCCATCTCCACTAAAAATAAAATTCCCCAGTACTTTGGGAGGTTGAGGTGGGCAGATCAGGCATTCAAGACCAGCCTGACCAACATGGTGAAACTCTGTCTCTACTAAAAATAAAAAAACTAGCCAGGCGTGGTGGCACACACCTGTAATCCCAGCTACCCAGGAGGCTGAGGCAGGAGAATCGCTTGAACCCAGGAGGTAGAGGTTGCAGTGAGCCGAGATTGTGCCACTGCACTCCATTCTGGGCAACAGAGTGAGAATCCACCTCAAGAAAAAAAAAATTAGCCAGGCGTGGTGGCGGGCGCCCGTAATCTCAGATACTCAAGAGGCTCAGGCAGGAGGATCGCTTGAACTCAGAAGGCAAAGTTTGCAGTGAGCTTACATTACTCCACTGCACTCAACCCTGGGCAACAGAGGGAGACTCCATCTCAAAAAAGAGAAAGAAACCCGTCACGGGTGCTTCTCTATGTGGCCTGGACTGGGAGAAGCTTCTTCCCACTGCATATCCTTCGGTATTGCTGGGATTTTGTTATGAGCACACGGCAGCTTTTCAAAGAAAAATTGTTAAAAATAAATGTCTTTAAAACAGTGTAATTATTGTAACATGTACAGGAGCATTCACCTCTGATGACAGTCTCTCAGGATACCCGTTCTTCCTGCGAGTGTTACCAGAGCTCACCTCTCCACAAGGGTCACGAATGGATTTCTTTCTGCCTTTTGTGCATTTTTGTCATTGCTAAGTTTTATTCTTTTTGCATTAAGTTTTTTGCTTGTTCATTTGTTTTTGAGATGAAGCCCAGGATGAAGTGTAATGGCGCTATCTCAGCTCACTGCAGCTTCCTCCTCCCGGGTTCAAGTAATTCTCCTGCCTCAGCCTCCCGAGTAGCTGGGACTACAGGCTTCTGCCACCACGCCCAGCTAATTTTTGTATTTTTAGTAGAGACAGGGTTTCACTGTATTAGCCAGGATGGTCTCGATCTCCTGACCTTGTGTTCTGCCCACCTTGGCCTCTCAAAAGGCTGGGATCACAGGTGTTAGCCACTGCACCTGCCAAGTTTTTAAATTATAAAAATGAAATCAGGCTGGGCGTGGTGGCTCATGCCTGTAATCCCAGCACTTTGGGATGCTGAGGCAGAGAGATCACTTGAGGTAAGGGGTTTGAGACCAGTCTGGCCAACTTGGCAAAACCCCGTTTCTACTAAAAATACAAAAATAAGCCAGCCATGGTAGTGCACACCTGTAATCCCAGCTACTTGGGAGTCTGAGACATAAAAATCACTTGAACCACTGCACACCAGCCTGTGTGAGAAGAGCAAGACCCTGTCTCAAAAAAAAAAAAAAAAAAAAAAAAAAAAACGAAAACCAGAAACCGAACCCTAAAAACAAAACTCAAAATCGGCCTTGGGAGCCGCGAGGTGCCCGGCCTGGGCGCTGTCCTTGGTGCTGACTTCGAGCCGCGCTTGGGGTCCCGGGGAAAGCGGTGCCGGGAGTCGGGGGCGGCGGCTCCCGGGGCAGCTGCTGCGCGACTGCGGCCTCCGCGACGCTCCCCGGGCCCCCGGGCCCCCTGGGACCCCCCCAAGCGGCTCCAGCCCGGCCCCGGCTCCGCAGGGGCGCTCGGGAGGGGGGGGCGGGGCGAGCCAGGGCGCAGTCTCCCATTGGCTGCGAGCGCCAGGCCCCGCCCACTCACCGCCCCGCCCAGCAGCCGCCGGGAGGGGGCGCCGGAGCGCGCACTGAGGACAAAGGCCCCCCCGGCCGCGGCAGGCGGCACCGCCCCGGGGCGGAGCCCGCACGCCGGGAGAGGGAGCCCGGGCCCCGGCGGGGCCTCTGCGGCAGCCGCGCGGCGCGGGTCCTGCGGGCCCCGGTGTTTCCGCACGACCCGGCCCGCGCCTGCCCCCGGGGTGACTGCGGGCGGCCGCGTGGCTTCCGGGCCTCCAGGTTTGCTGCTTCTCGGGGCGCATGCCTGCGAGATGCCGGCGCGGTGCACTGCGCGGGGGTGACCCGCGTGACCACCTGGGACCCGGCTTTGCTCCCGGCCTCCAGTCGCCCCGGCCAGGCGCCTCCCAGAGTCCAGGGGCCTCGCTGCGCAGACAGGCACCATCCGAGGACCCCCAAACTGGGAAGCGGCCGCCTTGCCCGCCTTCAGCTGCTGCCGCCCACCCACCCGGCCGCCCCCGCCAGCTGTGGGAGTGGGGGCCGAGAATGGCCAGGCCCGCGGGAATTCGCGTTTGACCTCTGGAGACATGAGCTGCTTCCCATTGCTTCCACAGGGAAGGGTGGAAAGGAGCAGACTATTCCCCCCGAGAAGATTTACTTCCCTGTTTTTGCATTGTTAAAAAGAATCGTATGTTATCATTATTGTTATTTTGAGACAAAGTCTCCCACTGTCGCCTAGGTGGCAGTGCAGTGGTGCGGTCACAGCTCACTGCAAACTCGACCTCCCAGGCTAAAGTGATTCTCCCATCGCAGACTCCCAAGTAGCTGGGACCACAGGCGCAGGCCACCACCCCAGGCTGATTCATTTATTTATTATTATTTTTTAATAGAAACGGAGTTTCACCATGTTCCCCAGGCTGGTCCACTACTCCTGTGCTAAAGCGATCCTCCCGTTCCAGTCTCCCAAAGTGCTGGGATTACATGAGATTACTGAGCCACCGTGCCCAGCCAGGTATTAATTTTTAAAACAAAATAAATTAAGAAAAAACAACTCAAAAGGAATAAAAAGTAGTGGGCAAACTAAGGCTCCAGTGCTGAGAAGCGGAGCTCGAGGCAAGACAAGGACCCAGCCGGGGGCAGAGCTGCCTCTGCCGCGTGGAGCCTCGGGGGATGTCTGCCTGTGGACCTGACTTCTAGGTCCCAGCTCTTGCCTGACAAGGGCCTTGTGTGACCACAGCTCTGCGCCCATCCCAGCCACAGAAGGAGGAACCCCAGGTGGGCTTCAGGGCTGCCTGCCCTCCCTCCCCCCAGCAACCCCTGACCCTCGCAGGAGCAGATGTTCAGGGCAGGCTCTGCCCCAGTGACCACATTAATGAGACCTTGGCCCCTCCCATCAGGCCAGGGCAGCTGTCAGAGGATGCTCTGGGAGTTCTTGTCTGATTTGAGGCCACTGTCCCCCAGGCCTCCCCTCCCCCAGGCTCTCCTTGGCAGGCACAGCTGTCTCCTTGGGTGATTAGAGTCTCCCCACTACTGGGCCTCCCACCCTCGGAGGCGCCTCCACCCGGAGCCAAAGTTGCAATTTACATGTCAGCCACGTGGCTGGCCCTGTTGTAATTAGCTTTTTGTTCCTGGCTGGTTTCCATGGCAACACCCTCGCGAGGAAGCCTTTCTCTGGCCCCTTCCTCTCCAAGACCCGTCTCCTCCAGCCCCTCCTTCCCGGAATCAGCGCTGCACCAGCCCCGAGCTGGGTCCCTAGCCTTGGTCCTGACAAAGCCGGCCTCCCCTACCCGGGTTTCCCAGGACTGTTCCGAGCGCAGATCCTTTGGCAAGCAGGCACCGCCCGCCCTGCCCGAGCCCCAGAGTGGCTCCTGCCAGGGAGGCGGACCAAGGGGCAGCCCGGCTCTCTGGCACCTGCTGTGTGACCTTGGGCCAGGGACAGCCTCCCAGGACCAGGGGACATGACATCCTCTAAATGATTTAGGCGGGGGTCCCTGCACAACGACACCAACGCCCCTTCCTGCCTGGCCCGGACGTCTGCGAGGTGGGCTAACAATGGAGGGAGGGGCGCGCCGCGGTGCAGCATCCACACCCCACAGCCCGGCTTTGTTCCCACGTCCAATCCCCAGACTGGTAGACCCTGGGTGGGCGCGGTCAAGCCCCGCGGGGGTGGCCCAGGGGCGGCTGCGCCGACGGAGAGCGCGGTCCTCCACCAAGGCCGCCTCGAGTCCAGGCCCAACCCCTCCAACAAAGGGACAGGGTGGGGCCAGGACGCCAAGGGGTGTCGGAGCATCAGGACGGCTCAGGCCTCTCGGGGGACGTTCGGCTCCTCGAGGGGGAGGTTCGAGCCGAGGGAATCACGGCTGTGGGGAGAGCCCCACCCACCCAAACCTGCCCATCCCACCCATCTCACTCAGGGCTATGTTGCGGGCCCAAAAGAGAGGGCCACGCCCAGACAGGGCCCCCAGCTGCACCTGCCGAGGCCCGGTGGAGGGGGTGCAGGTGTGGAGGGGGCTGAGGCTTCGCGACTGACGTGAGCTGCGCCCCGACAGCCCGAGGCCACCGGGGCAGGGGCGGAGAGTTGAGGGCGAGAGTCCCAGGGAGGGAGCCCCGCGTCCCGGCCGCCCGGCTTGGCGCGGGGGGCATCCCTTTGTTGCAGGTTTGCAGGGGCGGGGGCGGCTGGAGTTGCGGGCCGCGGGGCACGGCGCCTCCCTCCTCCCGCCCTGCGGCCGGGACAGGCCGGGGCGCGCAGCCTCACCTTGGCCCCGATCTGGTTGCCGCACTGGCCGGCCTGGATGTGCACGATCTCCCTCATGCTGGGCGCGTCTGGCGGGCGGCTGCGGACTGGCGCGGGCGGGCCGGGCTGGCTGCTGAGGGTCGGGACCGCGGCCGTGGGCTCTTATAGCTGCGGCCCCGCCCGCCGCATCGACTGATGTCATCGCGGGCGGCCAATCGGGAGGCGCCGCCGCAGAAAGCCGCCCGGCCCGCAGGCTCCGCACCGCGCGTCCCCGCCGCATCCTCCGCCCCGCGCGTCCCCGCCGCATCCTCCGCCCCGCGCGTCCCCGCCGCATCCTCCGCCCCGCGCGTCCCCGCCGCATCTTCAGCCCCGCGCGTCCCCGCCCGCCGCGCGCAATGCGGCGCCCCTCCCGCAGCCAAGGATCCCGCAGCGCTGGGCCGGGCGCGGTCCGGGGGCCCCCCGCACTGGAAAGGAGGGGCTGGCTCAGGGAGGAGCCGGCTGCGGGGGCGTCGGGATCCAGGGAGGACAATGGAAACCCCCTGGGCCCTGGGAACCCCGCCCCCAGCTACCCTCTGGGTCCCACCCTGGCGACAGCCCCACCCTGCGGTTTGTAAGGAGGGCCTTTTTTCCTCACGCCCGTTTAGGGACCAGCCGCATCTTCCCAGCTCCCTGTCTTTTGGCAGACAAGGTGCTCTGAGCTCTGCCCGCCCGTTTGGGTGGGGGAGGTAGGTGGAGGCTGACGCAGGCCCTGAACCCACCGTCCGATCAGGCCTGGGAAGAGCCCGAGGCGGGAGGCCGCGGGCACCGGGGGGTGGCGGCGGCTGCCAGCGAGCTCTGTGGGTCGCCAGCTTCCGCAGTTGGGGGGCCACCCGGCCACCTCCCTCAGGGGACTGCCGAGAGAGTTCAGAGGAGCTTTGTGGCCCGGGCGCGCGCAGCACCTGGACGTGCCTCTGCCTTGCGCATCGGTGTCAGGAGCTGTCACAAGGACGCACAAGCCAGGGAAGAACCCGGCCAGGGTGGGGGAGGGTGGGCCGCAGCTTCTATCTGACTCACTCCCTGAGGTCGAGACTGCGCAGGGTGCCTCGGGGGAACAAGAGGAGCTGAGTCTGCTGGTCAGAGAAGGGAGGGACAGAAGGACCGCAGGGCTCGCAGCATCAGCTACACACAGCGCCGACCTCCTCCTGGGCCGTGGATTACAGCGATACCACCTTATAACGAGATCCTTCTGACATTTCAATGACAAAAATCCTTCAGGAAAGATCTGACAGTGCGCAGTGTACAGACGACCCCGCCTCCCGCAAGTCGGCATTCATTTCCCAAAATGAACAGCTGCAAACACGACGCCTGTGTCGGGTCTGTGTGCACAGGGGTGTGTGGGGGTGGCGTGTCACTGGGCCTGTCTCTCTCTTTTCTCTCAAGAGAAGCTCCCCGGTTCAGAAAGTCAAGAAATGGATCTTTTGTTCTCAAGAGATGCCCCTCCCCGCAAGTGCTTATGTGGCTGTGGTTGGGGTCTAGCTTCCTGGGGGTCCTCCCTGTCCCTGTTTAAGGGGGTCCTGAGTGAGCATCTCGGGTGCCTCCCTGTCTCAGCGAGGGAAGAAGCTTTGCAGCCTCAGGCCAGCCAGCTCCGGCTCTGTCCTCAGAGGGCTCTGGTGCCAGGCTTAAGGCTGACTCACTGTCCCGTCTCCCAGAAGAGGCAGGCCCTGCCAGGAAGCAGTTCCCCATCCTGAGGCTGGATCTGATGCAGGGGTGGGGCTGGTCAGGGGGCTGCTTACTGGGCCTGCCTGGGCGCTGGCTGATGGCACCCCTGCAGCCTCCATTGAACCTGTCCCCGGATGGAGGCTGAGTGCTCAGCGTCTGCAGACGGAATGGAGATCGTCTCCTCAGCAACATGCCCAGGTTTCAGCAGAGGGATGACCCGGGCTCCCCTGCTCCCCAGCACCGGGCACCAGTGTTACCCTCAGGGACTCACTTCCAGGGACCTGTCCACTGGCTGGACCCCTGCCTCATCCCCATCGTCAGAGGCCTCACCTCAAGTACAGACCCCACCTGCCCACTCCCAGAAGGGCAGTACTGGGTGGAGAACAGACCCAGCCCCCCGACCCCCAGACCCCAGACCCCCTGCACTGGAGCCCCTTCCGGCCATCTCAGAGTGCACAGGGATGGTCCCATTCACGGCTGATCATGGCTGGAGGGACTCAGGGCCAGGGCAGGGAAAAAGGAATGTGTCCCAGCTGAGGTCACATGTGGTCACATAGAGGACTGGGCACCTGTTTCTACTCCAGCTGGGACGGTGTCAGAGTGGAGGGGACTGGGACCTGCTGCACCTGCTCCTCCCTCCAGGCTGGGCTTTGCAAGCACGGAGAGAAAGCAAGCCAAGGAGCAGTCAGCGCAAGCCTGGCTGGGGCCTCCACATCCCCAGGCACTCAGAGCCTCTGGGGCTGTGGCTTCCTCACCTGGCAAGGTGGGCCATGCTTTCTGGGACTCCTTTCTTCCCTCTCTTGACTCTCATCTCTGACGACGTTCCACTCCCCTTCCCTCCACCCGCAAACTTCAAGCACTTTCTGGAAGGGGCTAAGGTGGGTGATGCTGAGTCACATTTATTACGACTCCCGGCCCTGTGCTCCCAGGCACTGGTCACTGATTCAGGCATTGGCCAGAGCTGTCTGCCTCGGCAACTGGCACAGAAAAGCAGGCTGAGGACCCAGTCCCAGTCACCACGACAAGCCTTAGAACCGGCCCTCGGAAGGGATCAGCCCCACGCCACTTGTGAGGCTCCTGCAAACCTGGTCCCTTAGCCTGAGTCACGGATTTCACTTCCTGCTGCAGGAGCTGTTGCATGGCTGTGGCTAAGCTGGTCACAAAGCCCCTTCTCCTGGGACTGTGGTGGGAGCAGCACTCCCTCTCAGAGGCTCTTGGCACACATTTCCACCCAGAGACTTCACATCCCAGCTGACGAGGGCACAGGTCCTGAGAGTTGGCAGCAAAGATAGGGTGGGGTGGGTGCTGCCCAGTCATCGGAGCAGGTGGAGTGCCCCAGGAGTGGGTCAAAAATGTCTCTTCAGGAGCCCGGAGCCTGACAACTTCCCACGGCCTCCTCCATTCCCCATGACTGCTGGTGAGGAGTCCTGCCTGCACTTTAGCATGGACTCTTCTCCCTGGTCCCAGAAGGGTCTGCGCTTCAACACTTTGGGAGATCATTTAGTCCATCCTCTTTGACAAATGGGGACACGGGAGGTACGGAACCGCCCAGGGTCACACAGGAGCCAGGCCACACACTGTCACCACCTCCCTCTGCCCAGCACCCCGGCCACCACCCTGCAGGCCACCTGTGCCGTGTGCACCAGGAGCACAGCAGCACCTCCTTGAGCGTCCTGCAGAGCTCCTGGCTGCGGAAAGCGTAGATGAGGGGGTTGATGATGGTGTTGCAGATGATGAGGGTCAGAAAGACCTTGAAGTTCTTGAAGATACAGCTGCAGGTCAGGTGCTGAGGGCAGAAGACGACCAGTGTGAGATGCAGGAAGAAGGGGCCCCAGCAGAGGAAGAAGATGCCCAGCAGGATGGTGAGGGTGGCAGCACCTCTGAGGCCAAAGCCCTGGTGGGCTGGCGGCTGTCTCTTGTGGAGCCGGGTGATGCCCTGGGCATGCTGGCAGGCCCGGGCCAGCATGTGGACGTACAGCACAGCCATGAGCACTAGCATGGTCAGGAAGACCACAAGGCACAGCAGGGCGACTGCGTGTTCGTAGTAGGTGATGAAGAGTGTGCTGGAGAGGACACTGGCCACCCAGATGGCCGCGATCACTCTCTGCACCCGCGGCAGCGTCATGATGCTGTGGTAGCGCAGCGCGTAGAAGATGGAGATGTAACGGTCCACAGCGATGGCGCCCACGAAGCAGAGGCTGCACAGCATGGCGCTATAGGTGAGCACGTCGATGGTGTTGTGCAGCTGCTGGACCACCGAGGCCTGGGTCGCCAGCGCGCCAGCCTCCAGCAGGACGACGACGGCCGTCTCCAGCATGTTGCTGCCGCTCACCAGCAGGTCCGATAGGGCCAGGCAGCAGATGAAGCAGTACATGGGCGAGTGCAGGTTGCGGTTCTTAGCGATGGTGGCCACGACCAGCACATTCTCCACCAAGCTCACCAGCCCCAGGCTGAGGAAGAGCCCGTCGGGGATGGACACCTCCAGGCATGGGGCTCCTGTGTGGTTAGCAGCCAGCCCCAGGTTGGAGGTGGCTGTGGGGGTGGAGTTGAGGGACCCCAGGAGTTTCCTCTGAGCTCCCTGCATAGGCATAGTCCCGTCCAGGAAGCAGGAAGGGGTCGTTGGAGGCTCCCAGGTCCCCACAGTTCTCCCCCTGCAGGTGTCCTGCTCAGCTCATGGTGCTGCTGGGGAGCCTTGGGTGTCCCCCATGCCTGCCTCATTCCATCTGGGCACCCCCCAGATCTGCCCTCACACTCACCCTCTCCCTCCTGGACCGGCCAGCTTGGGCATGTCCGAGCCAGTCGACACTTCCTAGCATGAACCCTCTGACCTCAGGGCATCTCACAACCAATGCGGACAAACCTGGTCCTCAGCTCCCTCCTTGCCTCTTCCCTAGAGGCCGCTCAGGTCCCCAGGACATCTGCATACCTCTGGCCCCTCCTGGCCTCTGAGACCTCTGCCTGCCTCCTGCTTCCCTGGGCCAGGGTTGGACTGAGGTCCTGGGAAGAATGGAGCCTTTCTCTGCATCTTTAAAGTCATCCTCGGAGCCCCTCCCATGAGGGCGGCCACATGATGGGCGTGTGCCCGGGATGCGTGAGCGCCCACCCCCCCCGGCCTGCCATCAGGCAGCGCACGGCACCCAGAGAGTCCCACACAGAGCCCATCTCCTTCACATTAAAAAACACCGCCATCTGTCCAGGTCACCAGGGCCCCTGCCTGGCCTCCCCTCCAGGAGTCCAGGGTTTTCCCGGGCCCTGCCCCCTCCAGAGGCTCCTCCGCCTCAGAGAGTCACAGCCCCAGCCCCTAACCCCACTCCCCATGTCAGCAGCTCAGTGAGGACAGGGGCCTCTTCTGCTCTCAGCCGAAGCATGCATGGAGCAACTCAGCCGTCAGCGTTCATGGAAGATTTGGGGGCTGTACCCGGTAGAACTTTCCAATAATTAAAGTTCTGGAAACTGAGTGGACCCTGGCAGAGACACACATCACAGGCGTATGAGAGGCTTCCAGGCAGGGCAGAGGGTGAAAAGGCCCAATGCCAGAGGTCCCCGAAGGGGGTGATGCTTCTAGGTATCACACAGAGCCTGAGGCCGCTCTGGCCCCTGCCCCTGAGGGCCCAGGCTCGCCCAGCCAGAGGAGCAGCCCCCTCAATGGCAGCCCTGGGGCTGAGGGTGTCACTTTCTGGGCGCGGACCAGCAGACTGGCTGGGGGGCACCCTGGTGAGGTGTCGGGACCCTCCAGTCATCTCATGGCTCGTCCTCACTGGGGCACCTGGGACACTGCTCCTGCCCTCCCTGAGCGATGCCCCCATTTCCGCTCCGCTGGGGAGGCACCACAGGCCCAGCAGCAGAAGCCACATCAAAGGCGGACCTCTCGCCTCCAGCCTCCAGCCAGTGGCCGCACGCAGTGCTCTGCCATCCGTTCACAGCAGTCGGGTGTGGCCCCCAGGCCCAGCAGGGAGGGCATCTTTGTGCGTTCACTCCAGGGCGCTCCCAGCACTTCCTTGCTGAACGCTGCGTCCATGCTGACAAAAAACCTCCTTCTGGAGGAGGAAGTGGGAGGGGGAACCGAATTATTCATCCCATTTACAGGTGCTGAAAAGGAAGCAAGGGGACAGGCGCCACATCAGGGTTTTAATGTTTGTCCGAGTTCAGATCCCTGCTGTCCCCCACTGGGGTGCCAGTATCTGACTGACCGTGGAATGACCACATCACTCACAAGCCACCTCCGTGTGTGAGCACATCACTATTACCTGTTACATCTGCATTTTGCAATTTATAAGTATTTTTGCTTTAAAGTTTATTATTTTTATTTTTTTGAGTTTCATTCTGCCATGGAGGCTGGAATGCAGTGGCTTGATCTCTGCTCACTGCAACCTCCACCTCCCGGGTTCAAGTGATTTTCGTGACTCAGTCTCCCAAGTAGCTGGGATTGCAGGTGCCCATGACCACCCCTGGTTAATTTCCGTATTTTTTAGTAGAGATGGGGTTTCGCTGTTGGTCAGGCTGGTCTTGAACTCGTAATCTAAGGTGATCCGCCTGCCTCGGCCCCCCAAAGTGCTGAGATTACAGGTGTGAGCCACCATGCCTGGCCTGCTTTAAAAAAATTTTTTTTTTGAGATGGAGTTTTTCTCTGTCACCCAGGCTGGAGTGCAGTTGCACGATCTTGGCTCACTGCGGTTTCCACCTTCCCAGTTCAAGCAATTCTGCCTCAGCCTCCCAAGTAGCTGGGACTACAGGCGCACACCACCATGCCCAGCTAATTTTTGTATTTTTTTTTAGTAGAGACGGGGTTTCACCATGTTGGCCAGGATGGTCTTGATCTCCTGATCCACCCGCCTTGGCCTCCCAAAGTGCTGGGATTACAAGCGTGAGCCACTGCAATGGGCCTAAAATGTTTTAATTGAAGTACAACACACATAAAAGTGCACCAATGACAAATATGCAGGCTGAGGGACGTCCCCCACCCGAACCAGATACATACGCAGCACCAGACACAGACACTACATTCCCACCCGGCTCTCTCTCTCTGCGCTCAGCTGGATTTGCCCATGCTGGTGGCTGCAATCCTCTGCCTCAGACAGTGGTGTCCATTGTGTGAACACACCACATGGCATCGGGGTGGCCTCAGACTCCGTATCAATGACAGTGCTGCTGGCAGATTCTTGTACCACCTGATGGACACAGGTGCGTGCACCTGCTGGATGGCATGCAGGAGGGGCATGGGTGGGGCTTCAGCTTTGGGAGACTTGGTCAAACCATCTTCAGACTGGCAGACCGCTGTCTGGTAGCACACAGCTCATTTGGAGAGCATGGCCTGTCCACACCTCCCAGACCTGCGGTCTGGCCGCACCCACAGCCTCACCTCAGTCCAGCCTTTTGCCTCCCAGGACCTTTGCCGCCCCATGCTGTGCTTCCAGCTGAGCACAGGGGAGAGAAGGGTCCCAGATGTGAGGAGGAGGCTGAGCCTGGCTGGGGAAGGCAGATGGCACCATGGTGTGAGGTGCCATGTCGCTGCACAGGAGTCCCTGGACATCCACAGCACCTCACAGACCCAAATCCCGCTCCCCGCTGGCCATGAGCTGGTGAGCAGCCCTATCCCAGCCCACTGCATCCTCACATTTCAGGGATGTTCATGTTCACAGCTCCATAATGAGGGCTTTCAGATAGATGGTGGTTAACCCCAGCCTCCACCCCAGCCACCCAGCCTGGGACTTCAAAGGGCATGAGAATCGGGCAGCTGCTTCCTGCCAGGACACAGCCGGAGGGCATCGGAAGTGGGTGACCCTGCCACAGGACTCCCACTGTGGTTCTCACTGGATGTGCCTGTCGGGACACTGTGGGAAGATGAGCTGGAAAAAATTAACGTTCTGACTCGTTATGGTCATGGGGGAGATCAACTAGCATCAGGAATATCTGTGATTAGACACTTTGGAATCAGATCATCCTACAGCTAATCCTATCTGTTTGGATCTCCTCGTGCCCGTGTTGCGCAGCAGGAAGACATGTGGGGCCGGCGTGTCTGCTCACCAGGGTCACGGTGGACAGCACCTTCCCATGGGCAGAGGCATGGTCCCATGGAGCACTTTCCACAAGGACGTTTCTGGACTAGGGCCCCATGAGGACAATGAAGACAGATGCCTTCCTGGGTCTGTTCCATGTCTGGCACCCAAGGTCTGCAACACCCACACACATACGCACACACACACCTGCACCCACACACATACGCGTGCACACACACGAATATGTACACACATATGCATGCATGCCCTCAGTGTGCACCCAAGGGCTGCAGGGAAACCAGCTCTGTAGCCCAGGGTGGTCTGTCCAGCTGCAGCCATGCACAGGGAGGTGGGGGTCACCGCCAGACCAACAGTCCCGAGCTCTTGGGCCACCGTGAGTCTGCCTCTGGGTCCCAACGTGGTGGGCTCCAGTACAGCTCCCAAGGACAGCCGGGCCCACAGCCCACCTCAGCCCTTGGCTCAGGGGCCGCCAGTTTCCTTTGAACCCAGGGATGGGGTGTGGGAGGTGCCTGCGTTGAAGACTCTGGGGGAGATCTGGCTCAGTGGAAAAGGGCCCAGCTGGAAACCAATGCTGCGATGGGCACCGGGGAGGCCACATGTGCCTCAGGCTCTCGCTGGGCTCTGCAGGGCCGGGGAGGAAGCAGGATCCACCATCCCCCACAAGCATGGAAGAGGCCAAGCCTTGAGAGTAGTCTTCAGATCTCACGGTCATTAGAAACAGGCTCAGCAGCAGCTCACGACATAACCCCAGCAGCAGTGCCAAGGCATCAGTGACCCAGCCACCTCTCAGGACAGCAGGCCTGGGCTCAACCTCTGCTGCACTCACTGTCCCTGGAACACCGGCTCTTCTTTGACTCCCAAGCACAGGACGGCTGCTGGAGCTCCAAACACCACATCCCCGTGTGGGTGGACTCAAGGCATCTGGAACGGAAGAGGCAGGAACCCAGCTCTCCTTGCTTGCCTGTCATTTTCAGAGAACAAGCCCCTGAAGACTCTAGTGGTCCCCCCATCTCAATGGCTGAAGCTCATCACAGGCACCTGGCTGTGGAGGGTGGGGAACCAAGGTAGACTGGGATGATCCCCGCCACCTTCCCTGGAACTAAGTGCAGATTCCCAGCAAAGCCAGTTATGCTGGCATGGAAAAAAGGGTGGGTGAGACACCGGGAGGGCCCCGCTCTGCACCAGCCTGTGCTCCCCAGAGCTTCCTGCTGACCACAGACATCATTCCCTTGCTGCAGAGCAGAAGGAGGCTGCAGCACCATCTCCTGCTGCAGCATCTGGGGAGGGGAACGCAGCAGGTTCAGGATGTCACAGCTGGGACCCCAGTGCACCCCTCCAAACGGCCAGCCCAGTGCGAGGGCTGCACCCTCAGGCCGCCTCTTATCACAGACAGGGGGCCCTCACCGTCCTGGGGAGGGTCCTGCACCCTAGGCTCCCACCTGGGAAATGCTGAGCAGTCAGGCGACACCAGGAATAACATGTGCTCACAGGCCTCAGTGGGCCCTTGATAGGCGATGACACAGTGATGGGGCTTTCTGGGAGGCAGGTCCATGGACCAGGACCCAGCTGGGGCTAGAACATGTCTCCTGCCTCACTGGCCGCCCTAGAGCCTTGAGCAGCCCCTCCTCCCAGCCCCTTGTGCTTGCTGCCTCCTGAGGGTGAAAGATCAGGGTGCTGTGGGGTGCAGGGGACAGAAACCCTGGTGCAGCCACAACTTAACGTTCTCGATCCTTCCAGAACCATGCCGGCTTCTGATGCCGTCTGGCTGCAGCCTCTGTCCTGTAGCTGCAGCGCTGTGGGATGCACAGGTTCCGGACAGCACTGCTCAAGCGTGCCCAGACCTGCTCCGGCTACACCCCCTCCCCAGGCTGGGGTCCCGATCAGAGTGGCCCATTCACCCCCAGACCAAATGTCTCCTGATCTTTGCCACACTACCCTTCAGAGCTGCCCATGGACTTCTCTTTCCAAAATATGCTCCTGGGGCTTCTCCTTCAATTCCAGGCACTGCCCTGAAGTTTTCTAATAAAATTATTTTGGCCGTGCGTGGTTGCTCACACGTGTAATCCCAGCACTTTGGGAGGCCGAGGTGGATGGATCACCAGGTCAAGAGATAGAGACCATCCTGACCAACAAGGTGAAACGCCATCTCTACTAAATATAAAACCTGGGCACGGTGGCTCACATATGTAATCCCAACATTTTGGGAGGCTGAGGTGGGTGGATCACCTGAGTTAAGGAGCTCAAGATTAGCCTGGCCAACATGGTGAAACCCTATCTCTAATAAAAATACAAAAATTAGGCCGGGCGCGGTGGCTCAAGCCTGTAATCCCAGCACTTTGGGAGGCCGAGGCAGGTGGATCACGAAGGCAAGAGATTGAGACCATCCTGGTCAACATGGTGAAACCCCGTCTCTACTAAAAATACAAAAAATCAGCTGGGCATGGTGGCGCGTGCCTGTAATCCCAGCTACTCAGGAGGCTGAGGCAGGAGAATTGCCTGAACCCAGGAGGCGGAGGTTGCGGTGAGCTGAGATCGCGCCATGGCACTCTAGCCTGGGTAACAAGAGCGAAACTCCGCCTCGAAAAAAAAAAAAAAAAAATTAGCCAGGTCTGGAGGCAGACACCTGCAGTCCCAGCTACTCGGGAGGCTGAGGCACAAGAATCACTTGAACCCAGGAGATGGAGTTTGCAGTGAGCTGAGATCACGCCACTGCACTCTAGCCTGGGTGACAGAGTGAGACGCTGTCTCAAAAAAAAAAAATTAGCTGGGCATGGTGAGTGTTGTGGCATGCGCCTGTAGTCCCAGCTACTCAGGAGGCAGAATTGCTTGAACCCGGGAGCTGGAGGGTGCAGTGAGCCGAGATCACGCTACTGCACTCCAGCCCAGTGACAGAGCAAGACTCCGTGTCAAAAAAAAAAAAAAAAAAAAAAAAAAAAGACGTGTCTGACTCAACAGATGGTGGCATCCGGCCAGAGGACCGCAGCACATCAGCTCCCACCGGCTTGGAGGAACAAGACTGAAAGCGGGCCGCAGCGTAGGGGACTCCCTGCTCCAGCCCCACCCTGAAACCTTCTACCAACAAGGAATGCAGCTCTGTCCATGAACCCCAGAGCAGGCTGATGGAGGACCGGCCCCAGGGCCCTGGCGTTCAGCAGGGACTTGTCCTGAACACCCTGCAGGCCCCCTTCTTCACCGTGTCCCAGATTCTGGGAGCACAGGAAGCACGTGGCCTGGGCCCCGCCTCACCCGCAGGCCACTGGGAAGAGACTGGACTGAGTGATTGGAATCTGAGGGCACTGGACACACTCAGCACCTGGGAAAGAAGAGCGTGTGGACAGCAGAGCATGACCCATTTACGTTTATAGGAGACACAGCGGACCAGGCCGGCAGTACAGTCAGCATCTCTACTTCAGGGAGCTGGCCAATTCCAACCAGCACAGAAATCAGGAACATAAGTGTACAGCTTCCAGGCACTCTGCGGATGCTCAGTCCCACTCCCCCTCCCCCTCCGCGTCGTCCTCGTGGGGCGCCTCTACGTCGTTGAGGTGGAAGTTGGCCATCATGTCGCGCACAGCCAGCATCAGCCTGTTGAGGCCCTGGTTGCGGTTCAGACCCCCAGCCACTCCTTCCTCGGGTCTCTCCCCCTGCAGCAACGGGACACGTCTAAGCAGGGGGCGTCCATGCTGGGACTCGGAGCCCAGGGCCCCGGCAGGAAGGCACCGTGGAGCCCCAGGTGGCCCTTGCCCCAGTGTCAGACCCTGAAGCCTCATCAGGTCCCTGTGAGGACAGGAAGCTCTCAAAACCAAAAGTAGCGTCTAGGCCAAGCCAGGCCCAGAGAGTGGGGTCAAGATCAAGCTGGACCGGCTCCCGGGCCCTACGTAAGGCCTGGCTGCTCCCACCTGAGCAGGCCCCAGCTTCCCCAGCAGAACGAGCATCCGCTGGCGCAACGCAGCCTTGGCCCTTCCCTGCCCCTGCGCCGGCCTGCACAGGCCTGGCTCAAGACGGCTCCAGATATCTGCACTGGAACCAATGTGCCCGCACCCACCGGGCAGGCAGTGTCTGGGACCAACTCAACCTACCTCCATGGTATAATTTGGCAACAGTGACCGAAAGAAGAGCGCGATCGTGTTTCCATGGCTGATGGGACTTAATCTGAAAGACAAAGTAAAGAAAAGTCAGGAATGAAACGGAACCGATACTTGTGGGACCTAATCCAACTCCTAGGGCTGCCTGCCAGCTGCCTCCCTGCAGGGACATGGAGGGGCCCCACCCAGGTGCAGAGCAACACAGCTGAGGACAGGCCTGTGATTCCCACAAAGCAGAGATCAGGGCCCTGGGTGGGCAGTGAGGCTTCCTCATCAGCTTGGGGTAAGCCTGCAGACAGCAGGAACAGGATGAGGGAGACCAGCTCTGCCGAGGCAGACACGGGGTCCACAGCAAGGATCTCATGGCCACTATCTGCCACCGCACAGGTGCCTTGCTTTGAAAAGTTATAGTTTCAATGCCTCCTTCAGCAGTGAGGATTTGAGAGCACAGACTCCTTAAAGGAAGGCGGAAGCTTGCAGATCCTGTGTTAAGTGGACACGCTCCAGGGGTGATGGACTCCACAGGATGCTGAGCAGCCCAGGCCTAAGCAGCTCTGGGAGGGCGAGAGACTGTGGTCCATGAGGGGGAACCTGTGAGGCAGCCACGCACTGCAATTCCTCAGCGCTACCACCTACCACTGCAGGAATCATCCATCACAACGACTGCGTGGGTGACAGGCCCTCGGTAAGGCAAGTGCTCTCAAGGCCAGAGGAAAGGGAGAAAGCCCCTCAATGACCCAGAGGCTGAAAGCCACCCCAGAGACACACCAGCAGCCTGGGAGTCGGCTTGGACCTGCTCCCCAGCCCTTTCACCCTGCAGCTCTGCTCTCCCAGCCTGGCCACAGGGCTGTGTGCTCTGCTCCTGGCAGCCCTTGGCAGCCCTGCTCTCCTGGCCCAGCTACGTGGCTGTAAGCTCTGCTCCTGGGCCTTGGCACATGGCAACTCTGCTGTGGAACATGAATACCCCTCTCCCCGCTGAGCCTGGGGAAGCCACATTCTTCTGTGTCTCAGCACACCAACCCCTCCTTCCTTACTCCAGTTTTTGTTGTTTTTTTTTTTTTAGATGCAGTCATGCTGTCACCCAGGCTGAAGTGCAGTGGTGTGGTCTCGGCTCACTGCAACCTCTGCCTCCCTGGTTTCAAGTGATTCTCCTGCCTCAGCCTCCCGAGTAGCTGGGACTACAGATGCATGCCACTATGCCTGGCTAAGTTTTGTATTTTTAATAGAGACAGGGTTTCGCCATGTTGGCCAGGATGGTGCAGTTTGGATTTTACATTTATTTCTAGATGCTAAAATTCATGTTTTCCCCACATCACTGCACACCTGCTTCCGCTGTTACTCCCAGCTGCTACAGAGCATTCCCACAGGCACAGCTGTGACCCCCAGATTACACTGTCCCTCTCCCCTCCTTTCCTGACCATGTGCCCCAACTCTTAGTACCTATCCCAAGCTGGCAGCCCGTCCCTGTGAGCCCTGAAGCACTGACCTTAGCTGCACAAGCCAAGGAGTGAATGGGGAGGTGGGAGGTACCTCTCGGGCCTGACGTAGGAGTAGATGGTGTCCGCAGGAGGCAGAGGGTCAAACCCCATCACAGACTGCGTGGTCACGTCCTTCAGAAAGGGACACAAAACGAAGATGCTACGGATGCTGACAGGGGGCCTCTGCCTCTCCCAGCAGAGTCCTTCAGTCGGCTCCAGCAAGGACTGGACGCATCTGCTGAGAGATAGCCACAGAGTCTGACAGAAACGGCTGTGCTTTTTGTACCAAACAAACTTTGGGTGAGGGTGGGACTGCCCTTCTGCCACCAGGACACTCACGGGAGTGGAGGTACACCGGCACAGCGTCTGCCCTTCTCACGGGGGTATGTGGTGGGAAAGGAAGGGGGTCACGTGCTGCTCACACCTGCCAAGATCTTCACCACGGGTCAGAAGCTCTCACTTCAGCAACTGCAGGCTACGGGGACCCTGGGCTGCCCGAGGGTCACACAGCTCCTGGTGTACTCCCTGCCCCGCCCCTCAGCCCCTCTAGAGATGACAGCAGCTCACAGCCCCAGACAAGGCCAGCCATGCCAGTCACCAGGATCTGCAGGGCAGCCAAAATTAAACCAGGAGGTGCTAAGCTGTCCTCAGTGACGGCCCCTGGGCCTGCGACCTTCTGACTTGCTGGTTTCTCAGTCATTCTGTCTTATCCCGTAACAACAGTATAAAGTCTTTAGGTTTGGAGTCAGAAACAGAACCTCCAGCACAGGAGGTCAGAGCAGGACTGTACCTCATGACTACAGAGAAGCCCCCACAGCTGCACTCGCAGTGTCAACCACGGAAGGAACAGCTCACCAAGGTGACTACTCAGCTCATGCTCAGCCCCAAAGGATTTCTCTCTCAAAACCAAGCATCTGAACCCTGGCTGCCAGGAAAGGAGGAGCCCTTGCCGTGGCAGAGCTGGGCCGTGAGGGTGCTCATATTGCGCATGCCTGCATGTGGACTGCCAGGAGACACAGGCAGTACATGTGACTGGCTTACACAAAGCTCCCATTTCAGCCCCTCTCCTTACCGGGGGCAGGGCAGCAACGGCTTCCTTGATCTCAGAGAGGATCACATGGCGGTGGATATTCCTGGGTGCGCGCTGGTAGAGCACCTTCCGCCTGAGGCCGAGGAGAAGAAAGGCACAGCAGATGAAACGGTAACAGCCACCGCGCTGGGCCCCGCCCCGCCCCGCCCAGCACTCGCCACCTCGCTGCATTTCTAGTGGCACCAAGAACAGCACATTTCACTTCCCAGGCAGAGGCAGCACAGCTGGTCCCTGGCCTGCAGTGAGGGAGGCTCTTAGGGGCCAGTCCCAGCTGCACGGCCTGACTCAGGCCCTCTAATCAAAAAACAAGATTGATTGGAGCCATGGCCAGCGGCTTCTTGTGGGAATTCAATGAGTTTGTCTACATGAAGTGACACCTGGGCATGTCCCCACTGTCACTGCTACAGGCAGAGGCACTGGTCCCTGCTTGAAGTCACTCTGGGAAGGCAGCACAGGGAACAAAATGCTTTCTTGTCCATGAGAAATGTCTGGTCCAGCCTGGGCGCAGTGGCTCACACCTGCAATCCCAGCACTTTGGGAGGCCGAGGCAAGCGGATCACCTGAGGTCAAGAGAGCGAGACCATCTTGGCCAACATGGTGACACCTCGTCTCTACTAAAAATACAAAAAGTAGCCAGTCGTGGTGAAATGCGCCTGTAGTCCCAGCTACTCAGGAGGCTGAGGCAGGAGAATCACTTGAACCCAGGAGGCGGAGGTTGCGGTGAGCCGAGAACGCACCACCGCACTCCAGCCTGGCAACAGACTGAGACTCCGTCTCAAAAAACAAAGCAAGAAAGATGTCTGGTGCAGTGGGGAACACAAACACATGGATGGGGCCCACGACTCCCAACGGCTGGGGCACCGGTACCTCTTAGGCACCCCCAGCACGGCCTCACATCCGAGGCAGACAGACTTGACCGTGGAGGTGCAAATGGCCGCCACTCCCACGTGGTCCACGCTGAGCCTGGCCACACTGGTGGGCAGAACCACGGTGCTGACACACACAGAATTAGCACAGGGCCAAGGGCACAGGCACACCAGACAAGAACAGGCAAGGGGCTGCCTGCCAAATGCAGAGCACCAGGGTCCAAGCCTCTGACATGCTCACATGCAGGACAGAAGACTTGCTCTCAGCTCTGCCAGATTTATTTACCCCCAAGATGCTGGTGTGAGAGACTCATCAGCACCCCAGCTGATGTGGAAACATCACACAACCAGAAGCTACCAATCCAGTCCTAAGCACCCGGGAACGCCAGCTCGTGACCTGTGCTGATGACCACAGCTGCCTCCCAGGAAGCCTCTGGGACAGGACAGGGCTGTGCTCCCTGTTAGGCTCCACACCGGCCCCATGGCTGGCCACACTGCAGGGGAGGGCAAGCTGCTCACAGCCCTCCTCGCCTCCAGAATCTGAGGTCCCTGTGTCTGGGACGAGGACCCCTGAGGAGGGGGTGTGGCAGGGCTGCTGCCCCACGCAAGCCCCTGGAGCTCACCTGTGCTCACAGGCTTCCACCGCAGGGTCTCCGGCATCCACTGCCTGCAGCACCCTGTGGACGTTCTCCTCCAGCCAGCTCATGGTGGCGGGCTCTTTCCAGAGAAAGTGTGACCTCCCGAGATAGAGGCTCACCAGCTGGCTCAGGGCAGGGGGCTGGCTGGAGGAGAGCAAGGTCTGTGAGCAGAACACTCTTCAGGCCAGCAGAGCCCCAGGGATGGGCAGACGGGAGGTGCAGGGAGGGCCCTGAGGGCTGCTGGACCCGAGAGTGTGGGGCTGGGGCACACAGGTATGTGCCATGGCCTCTTACACACTGTCTGTGTTCTTTAGGAAGCACAACTGACTCCACAGAAATGTGAAAATATAACCAGGGCAAGTCCATCTGTGAGCACACAGGGCGAGCCCTGGACGCCACATTGGCCCCCGAGGGCTGGGGGCGGACCTGGAGGTGACACTGGCTCCTGAGGGCTGGGGGAGGACCTGGAGGTGACACTGGCTCCCGGGGGAGGACTCTGTGGCATGCACTTTCTCCTGTGCTTGCTCTCTCTCCATTATTTTTTTGAGGCCATGTCTCGCTCTGTCACCCAGGCTGGAGTGCAGGAGCACAGCTTATTGCAGCTTCAACCTCCTAGGCACAAGCCAACCTTCCACCTCAGCCTCCCAAAATGCTGGGATTAGAGGTGTGCCCCACTGCGCCCAGTACCCTCTTTATGAGCCTGGGTTTTAAGCTGGAGGCTGCTCACCTGGGATTTTCCACCCATCAATGAGGGCTCCAGAGCCCCCCCCAGGTCGGATGAAAGTCCCTGAGGTCCCTATCACAGCCCCTCCTGCTGCTGGGAGCAGGTCCCTCAAGGCCTCTCAGGATGACTGAAAATGGCTCCTAGGCTCCGAACCCACAGACACCCCACAGATGGGCACCCCTCAGACAGATGGACACCACACAGACATCCCACAGATGATCACCCCACAGACAGGCACCCCACAGACAGATACCCCACAGATAACCACAGACGGGCACCCCATAGACAATCACCCCAGAGACGGGCACCCTACAGATGGGCACCCCACAAACATACGCCCCACAGTCATCCCACAGACGGACACTCCAGACACCCCACAGAGACAGACACCCCACTGACGGATACCCCACAGACGGGCACCCCACAGACATATACCCCACAGACGGGCACCCCACAGACGGGCACCCCACAGACCGGCACCCCACAGACATATACCCCACAGACGGGCACCCCACAGACCGGCACCCCACAGACATATACCCCACAGGCGGGCACCCCACAGACCGGCACCCCACAGACATATACCCCACAGACAATCACCCCACAGACAATCACCCCACAGACATATACCGCACAGACTGGCACCCCACAGACGGGCACCCCACAGACAATCACCCCACAGACATATACCCCACAGACAATCACCCCACAGACATATACCCCACAGACATATACCCCACAGACAATCACCCCACAGACAATCACCCCACAGACATATACCCCACAGACATATACCGCACAGACTGGCACCCCACAGACATATACGCCACAGACATATACCCCACAGACTGGCACCCCACAGACGGGCACCACCACTCTCTACCTTATCTCTGCATTGGGTCCAAAGAAGCGATGAGTGGACACGGTGGCATCGGGCCGCATGCTGCAGTACTCGAGCAGGGGAAGGAGGACTGCGGGAGAAGCAGAGGCTCTGTGGGACCCCTCGGCCCACAGCGAGCCACTCCCAGCCCCCACAGTGGTAAGGGACACGGTAAGGTCTTTGTCACAGACACAGCTGAGTGCTTTCAGATGGAGGAGCGTGCAGGGCCAGTGGCTTGCTTCCGGCTGGCACCCTGAGCTGCTGCTGCTGGGATGCCCAGGGTCTGAGGCGGGAGTCTCCTCACGCCAGCCCCCAGGAGCCTCCCAGCACCCCCATCTGCATCTGAGGAAGACTCACCCACCACCCTCCACACACGTAGGGCTGGATGTTCTAATCACAAAGTCCAGACCCCATGGCAGGCTGGCGGGGGCAGACGCCATCTGTGCCCAGTAGAAGGGCTAGCAGCGCAGGGCTGGGCTGAGGTCTAGGCCGCCACATAGGGGCATGGGCCCCCAGGGCAGAGCCTGTCCCACCCACACCTGCAGCGATCTCCAGTGCTCTGGAATAAGGGGCGGTGGCTTCTTGGGAGCCTGCCTGCCTTCGAAGCAGGTGCTGACACTACAGCTTGTAAGACAGCAGCACAGCTCTGCCACACAACACACAGCCTCCCAGCCCTGTTCCCGGAGACGGCTGCACTGGTGGAGCACGGCACGAGGCCTCCACCACGTTCCCAGACACTGCTGCACTGGTGAACACAGCACAGGGCTGCAGAGGAGGACAGAGGTGCTTCTTAGGCACAGGAGATGAAGCTTTTGGGGTCAGCGAGCAGACCGAGGGCTTGCCAGGCCCCTCTGGTTGGCACATTTCTCTGCCTGTGCTGGAAGCTGCCCAAACCCACGCCGTGGGCTTCCCTGGGGCCCAGACAAAGCCCTAGAAAACCACAGAACCAGTGAAGTACTGCTGCTTCCAGGACGTGCTAACAGAAGGTGAGTGGTCATGCTACGAGTCACATCAGCTGCACGCAAACAACCCTCAGCCCCCACAGCCCCTCAGAGGAGCCCCGTCTTAAAGACAGACGTCACACATGCTGTCTGGCAGGGGTCAGCCCCACTGTGCCCACCCCATGTGTGTGGACGGAGAACGCGCAGATGCAGTCGGGGCTCAGGGGCTGTGCAGGCTGGGTCTGTCTGAGCAGGACAGGCTTCCCAGCACAGTGCTCAGCACAACCCTCTCCGCCGTGCCTCGGCACCTCCAACACCTTCCTCTGCTTCTTCTCCTCCCCAGCACTGACACAATCCGTGCCCAGCACCTCCCAGCCAGTCCCGTCTCTGCACCCTACAACACAGCCCCACAGGGTAGGATGGCTGCCACCTCCTCGTGCCTGGCATGGCACACAGCAGGTTCCCAGATGGATCGATCATCTTTCGAGTTTGCTAGGGCAGGTTTGCAGGCCCTACCAAAGAATGTACGTGTCTGAAGGTGTAGGGGAGGTCAGGGACCTGGCCTCCACCACCAGGAACACCAGCTCCCACACCATGGCTGACAGTACACACCCCACCCCAGCAAGATGGGGCACCCACCTCCAGGGAACATGGTGAGCGCCTGCTGTATCAGGAGCGAGGCCTTCTCCCTGGCAGAGCTCTGCTCATGCTCAGGGAGGTCTGTCTGCTGGCTCAGCAGGAAATACGCCAGTGGAACAGAGAAGGCAAAATTTGGGAGCTGCGACAGGTTCCGATGAGCCTACAAGAGACACAGAAACAGAGTGGAGCCTCAAGTCAAAAAGACAAAGTATATGAGTTGGCAGATGCTCTGATGCCAACATGAGCCCTGCCAGGAGTAGGGAGATTCTGCCGGCAATGTGAGGGCCCCTTCTCAACTTGGCATAAAGATAACTTACACACCCACCTGGGGGAATTTCCACACGCAGAAGAGAGAAGACACGGAGGGCCTGAGGAGTGAAAGTGAGTGAGGGGGCCACAGGGAGGGAGGCCCCACCTGCCACAGGGGCTCCTCTTTGAAGCTGAGCAGTCAGTGCTCTCAATGTGGAAAATGTACAAAGCACGAACAGCAAAGACGAGCACACTCTACCACCGTGCGAGGACTTCTGCCTTCCTCAGCAGACGCCACAGACCTCAGACACGATCAGAACGGGATCACAGACTGTTTTTGACCTTAAACACCATCATCCACATTCTCCTGTGGCCCCATTTTGGGGGATTCCCTGAGGTTTCCCTGCACCTACATTTCTGTGAGATCCAGGGATTTCTATAAACCACATTCCAGGAGGTGAGATTTCCTGGCAGATTATGCCAAATGCTAAACAATTCAAAGCAATTTACCCACTTTCATTAGGCACGACCATGTGCTACGAAAAAATTCAACACAGAAAAGGAGAAGGTCAAGAGCTGTCATCACCTGCTCCCCAGTCCTGGGCCCTGCTGGAGGTCAGCATGACAAAAAAATTCAACACAGAAGCAGAGAAGGTAACAGCTGCCACTGCCTGCTCCCCAGCCCTGGGCCCTGCTGGAGGTCAGCATGACAAAAAAATTCAACACAGAAAAAGAGAAGGTCAAGGGCTGTCATCACCTGCTCCCCAGCCCTGGGCCCTGCTGGAGGGCAGCATGACAAAGTCTCATGTGTCCTTCCAGGTAAGTGGCACCCAGAGGAACATAATGGGAGCCCAGGAGTCAGTTTAAATTTTCTAGGAGCTGCATTAAAGAGAAAACAGGTGAAATTAACTTAAATACATTATACCTAACCCAGCACAACTAAATTATCACTCCAACATGTGTCTGTTACTGGGGGCAGAGTTCGGGCCTCTCTTGCTGTGCAGTCACCCCGGGACACGGTGTGCTGGGGCAGCCCTCCCTCTGCCTCTCGGCTGCGTCTTCCTGTCCCGCCCACGAGGAGCTCAGGTGCTGCCACTTTCTCATTACTATCGCCACAATCCTGGCACGCAGGTGTACACACATTTGGGGATCTGACATAAGGCTGCTGTAACGTCCCTAGGAAAACCAGATTCCGCTCAGCAGAGGCTCGAGGGAGACAAAAAAGGCAGGAGGATGTGGTTCTATTCTCGAACAATTATCATTTCATCCCCAAACCATCCCTCGAGCACACAGACACCAAACCAGGAAAACAGAAGGAGAAGCAGATGTCTGTCCCCCCAGGGACCCACCAGGCTCCCACCTACCTCCCACTCCTGGAAGAGGCGGATCAGGTACTCGTAGTTCCGGGCCCGCAAGGCCAGGTGGTCGATGAGCAGCAGCATGCAGAGGGGGTCCTCATCCGGCTCGAGACTTCCAGAGGCAGCACAGGGAGCACAGAGAAGGAGAACGGGGTGCCATCAGGCCGGGAGTGGGCCGGAGGCAGAGCAGAGAGCAGAACAAAGGAGAAAGGGGCACCGTCAGGCTGGGAGTGGGCCGGAGGCAGGGCAGGGAGCAGAGCGAAGGAGAACGAGCCACCATCAGGCAGGGAATAGGCCTGCAGCCAAGGCGGGGAGCACAGGCCAGCGTGGTGGAGCAGCCACTCACCTCAAGATGAGCTTGCAGTACTCCAGTGCCGTGCGTGGGCAGCCTCGCTTCTCCAGGAAGCTCATCTGCTTGTAGAGGGCCAGGTAGAAGCTCCTAGATCCACAACAGTTCCACATGAATTAGAGCGACACAAAGCAGAAAGCCCTGTGAACAGTGCTGCGGCCGGCACCCGCGCCACCCTGCCCTCCACGCAGTGCCGAGGCTGCCGTTCCGCTCTCTGGGTTCTGCTGGCATTTCCTACGTGCCCAGCACACAGAGATCCGTGCCTGGAGAGGAGGTGAGCACTCTCCTTGTCCTTTACAGAGTTACACACAAATTTGCATACTGAAAATCAAACCTCTTTGAAATCTTTATCTTGATTTTTGTTGACTATTTATAATTTAAGGGGAGAGAGTTAAGATTTCCTGTTACAATTATGACAAATTAGATCTTAATTTACCCTCCAATCTCAACAGTGGCTCACAGCACTAAGGCTGGACACATAAAGCCTGTGACTTCTGCATCCAGGTCCTGGTGGGCGGCTACTTCTGTCAACAGCCCACTGTCCCTTTTATGCCTGGAAATATTATTATTTTATAATCTACCTCAAAGTACTAATAATTTCATTGGAAGAGACAAAACTAACATAAAAAAAACCAGGCCGGGTGTGCTGGCTCACACCTATAATCCCAGCACTTTGGGAGGCTGAGGTAGGCGGATCACGAGGTCAAGAGACGGACACCATCCTGGCCAAGATAGTGAAACCCTGTCTCCACTAAAAATACAAAAATCAGCCAGGCACAGGTGGCGGGCACCTGTAATCCCAGCTACTCAGGAGGTTGAGGCAGGAGAACTGCTTGAACCCAGGAGGTGGAAGATGGAGTGAGCGGAGATCATGTCACTACACTCCAGCTTGTGACAGCGCAAGACTCTGTCTCAAAAAAAAAAAAAAAAAAGACAAGAAAAGAAAAAAAGAAAACCAGTGGAGAAAATTCAGACCCAGCACACAATGTGGACAAGCTGTGCAGCAGGGGCGGATGGACCTTGGCTTGCCAGGAGGGCCGAGAGAGCAGGAGTGGATCGCACACCGGAGACACCCAGGGTGGCCAGAGAAACGAGGCGCTGCACACAGGAGAGTCAGGACAGCGGACAGGCTGGTCCACACACAGGACACACAGGACAGTGGACAGAGGCTGGTCCACACACAGGACACACAGCACAGTGGACAGAGGCTGGTCCACACACAGGACACACAGCACAGTGGACAGAGGCTGGTCCACACACAGGAAACACAGCACAGTGGACAGAGGCTGGTCCACACACAGGATACACAGCACAGTGGACAGAGGCTGGCCCACACACAGGACAGCCAGGACAATGGACAAAGGCTGGTCCACACACAGGATACACAGGACAGCGGACAGGCTGGTCCACACACAGGACACACAGGACAGCGGACAGAGGCTGGTCCACACACAGGAAACACAGCACAGTGGACAGAGGCTGGTCCACACACAGGAAACACAGCACAGTGGACAGAGGCTGGTCCACACACACGACACACAGGACAGTGGACAGAGGCTGGTCCTCCCAACAAGTGCCCACAGGACAGGCTGAGGGGGCGTTGTGGGAGCCGGTCCAGGTTTGACCAGTGAGGGCTGATGGCAGATGGATGGCTTTAGGGGCACAAGTATCTGGAAGAAGAGAGTGCCACACGTGTGGCCGCCCAGGGCAGTGGAGTGAACCTCGGGCTGATTCTGAGCTACTCGACGACTGAAGGTTAAACCTGTAAAGCCTTCCAAAGCTTCTAAACTTGCCAGGGACGGGTTCTTTGGCCAAACGTACAAAGAAACGCAATTGCAGAGCCCAACGTGGGGATATGGTTTGTCAGGCTCACCTCTTTTTTTTTTTTTTTTTTTTTTTTTTTTT